TATTATGCATACAAAAAGCTTCATAAATTCCAGTACTGCCCTCCCCTCCCCTTCCGGAAGGAAGGAAGGAAGGAAGGAAGGGAGGAAGGGAGGAAGGGAGGGAGGGAAGGAAGGAAGGAAGGGAGGAAGGGAGGAAGGGAGGAAGGGAGGGAGGGAGGGAAATTCAATGTCACAGATATAGCTAAAGCTCAGGGCTTAACCCCAACCCGCTTCCCTCCTCCTAGAGGCAATCGCTGTCCTGAAGTTGGTGTGCATCAGTCCCAAGCCTCTTCGTACTTTTTCCAAGGTTGTTTCCATAAACACTATGTGGGATTTTAAATCACTGAAATTTAGTGATTTTAAAACATACAGAGTCCGGGCGTGGTGGCTCACGCCTGTAATCCCAGCACTTTGGGAGGCCGAGGTGGGCGGATCAAAGGGTCAGGAGTTCGAGACCAGTGTGGCCAAATAGTGAAACCGCATCTCTACTAAAAATACAAAAATTAGCCCGGCGTGGTGGCGGGCGCCTGCAGTCCCAGCTACTGAGGCTGAGGCAGGAGAATCGCTTGAACCCGGGAGGTGGAGGTTGCAGTGAGCCGAGATTGCGCCACCGCACTCCAGCCGGGGCCACAGAGACTCTGTTTCAAAAAAAAATACATAGATGTTTTCTACTGGACATACCATCTGCAATAATTTCCTCTTAACATTATGGGTTTTTTTACGCCCCCCAAACTCATTTTAATGTTTTACATTAAAGCCTCTCTGTGAAGTGCGGCTGGGCGGGGCTCCGAGTAGTGGGCGGAGTCTAGGCTGGGAAATGGAGGCGGGGCCTAGGAGATTCCGGCCTCAGGGTGGACGCAGTGGTTCTGCACCGAGGGCCTCGTCATGGTGGGACCCGTGTGGTACTTGGTAGCGGCGGCTCTGCTAGTCGGCTTTATCCTCTTCCTGACTCGCAGCCGGGGCCGGGCGGCATCAGGTAGGACATGCCGCTGCGCCAGTACTGGTGGTACCGGGTTTTCTGGCCTGAGCCTTTGTGGACCGGCGCGTCGCGGCTCCTGCGCGTGCGCATCCGG